GAGATGAAGAAAAGTATTTGTAATCTTATCATGAAAATCATTTTGCATACAGATTATTCAAAACAGATATTCAATATATTCATGGACAAATCTTTATTTTAGTTTATTAAAAAATAAGATTTTTTGTGTGTGAAAAACTTAAAATGTTTACTGAAAGCCTGCCTGATTTTTTGAAGATATACACACTATATTGAAAATTAGAACTATTAAATCTATAAAGACTTTAAAATGAGTAGAAAGAGTTCACATAGTTGGTCAAATTGACCGAGCCGGTGTAGAGAGAGTTAAGGCAAAGTATAATTTTTATGGCCTTCAACCTTATTTTCTTACAGAGCCATAAGCTAGAAAATCAGACCCACATGCCAAACCCACCTGTCACATGTTCTCTTTCATAAACTGTCAATAGTTCTTTTCTGACATTTTATACTATATTATTTAAAGCCAATAGAAAGCCATAGTTTTAATCTATCAAATGATATATTATATTACTTTGTTTTCTGTACAGAGAATTGTTTATTTACCTCCAGTTCAAACTTTTAATTTTAAGTGTCAAATCAATGAGTGTAGCTGAATTTTTAAAGGCTGTTATCGTGTAGTTAGAAAGCCAGAACAGTTATGATAGTTATAGGACATTGTCTGCTTTCTACAAATTATTATTGTATTTTTAAGTGCATTATTTATTTCAGTAAATATTATTTAGTAATTAGTAGTACCATTAGTATAAAAAAAAAAGTAGGTTTAAGTTTCATCAACAGTTGACAGCAAAAAACAAGATCCAGGTAAGTACTGTTTTTTTGTTTTTCAAATAAAATGTAAAAATTAGAAACTTATTAGATTAGGTAATGTAATGAAAAAAAATGATTATAAAAATATTTCATGAGGTATGCTCACAAGCAGTTTGTGTATTACATAATTTGATACAGTAATGTGAGCAACAACTTGTGTATCGGGATTATTAGATAGATATGGGTCAAAGGGCAATAAAACAATAAATCTTAAGTAGAAACAGATGTATACTGTTATGTGCTTTAAGCTGTTTAGGATAAAAGAACAACTAGTTTCCTTTTACAGTTTGCAGTCATTTCACAAAGAAAAAGTTGTAATTTATATGATTTCGTATTTCTTTAAGGTAGTTATGAGGTGGATTAAACTAACTGAATGCATATAGAGTTAGAGAAAATATAATGTTTAATGAGAAAAATATTTGATATTTATTTAGGAGGTTTTAAAGATTACACAAATGCAATTTGACAATTTTCAGATGAAGAAAAGTATTTTTAATCTTAAAATGAAAATAACTTTACACTTGGAGCAGTTAACACTTTGACTCCATAAATTCATGGAGAAACATTTTGTATGCAAAAGAATAGTAATGTTTATTGAAAGCTTGAGAAATTTCATGAAAATACACAGAACATCTTAAAAGCTATAATATGAAACTATAATGGTCACAAACTTGGTCGATTGATCTGAGCCTGTAGTGAAAGAGTTAAGCAACATTGTATAAATTCAGAAATTGCTACTTTCAATTAACTCGGGTTAGTTGAATAATGATACATGCATACAGTATATAAGTAGCCATGTGGTGAAAACTGTTAAACTTCTTTATTTAAATAATTTTTCTGTTATTATTTGGAATACATCACTTTGGATAGTATTTGAATCCAGACAAAGCTCTTTGGAATATCTTATGGGTTATTTTTGAATGTGTTAGGATAGTCTTCTTTATGTCATATTTAGGATCATTTGGGTGAGTAATACATTGAAGCTGTGCTGTCTCTGTTTACTAAACAGCAAGTACACCAGCAGCTGCCTGAAACAGCAAACCTGTCAACCCTTCAGTCACCCTCTCATGAGCTGTTCAAGCCTGGTTTAGAACATTTAACTTCAGAACTTTCCATTAAGGAGCCCTCAACACTTAAACCCCTGTCTCGGCTATCCCAGTGGAAGCTACCATCTCTGGACAAGGATGAACAAAACTTGCTGGTTGGAAATACTGAAAGAAGCAATAATGGCTTAGGGGATTTTAGTCGTGCTCCTGGAACTGTGTCAAAGCTTGGAACTTCGTTACATGCTTCACTTTCATCACCTGTAATAAATCTAAGTGAGAGTTTACCATGCACTCTGAACTGTCCTGGAGCTTGGCCTGTTTCTCCTTCTGAAGGCACCAGAATTATCCATCTACATAATAATATGAGCATGAATAATATGAATAGTTCTGACTCAACATCCATAAGTTCATCAACCAGGAATGTGGAGAGTGAGCCAAAAGCCACCACTTCTTCAACCACAAGCGCACAACCATCTTGTAACTTGAATGATCTTGTGACAGAATTTGAGCCTGGTAAACCATGGAAAAGTATTTCTCATGGAAAAAATGTTGAAGGTGATAACCATCTCACACCAAGCAGTACAGCTTGCTCTCCTTTCTCCCTGAGTTCTATTAAAGACACAGATTGGACATCCAAATCTAGACCTTCACCCACAAGCAGCGGGGATTCTCTTGTAGCCTCACTAGCTTCGCTGACTTCCAGTCCTTGGACTTTTAATCCAGTTACATCAAATGATAGGTAAGAGGAAACTGATACATCATGTAAATTATTTATATTAAACAGAAGAACTTGGTATTCTTGACTATTCTTTGTATCAGTTAAGTTTTATTTATTATACCTCATACTGGTATTTTCTTTTACATTTTTATTCTCAAACTACTCCAGCACCTGATGACCATTTTTATTGGAAATACGGTTTTAGAAACTTAAAACAAATAACATTCTAAGTTTAATAAAATACCAAGAAAATTAAATAAAAAGGTTTTGATAGATATATATCACATGATGAAACTTGTATATAACAAATTAGAAAGTAAACTTATTGTTATTAATTTGTCTGAGTCTCTATGAATAAAGTATTTTAGTAATGATCAGTACTTTAGTTGTACATACAGCATGTTTAATCACTTTGACATGCTTGTTGTAAAAGGTAAAACAATCTTCTTTTTTTTCTTAGAAATTTTGAGCCCACAGATTTAGGCTGGCCTTTATTTACCTTACTCATATATATTGAAAATCTTTTTATTGGTGGACTTTAAACATTGTTCTTTGAAAAAAATCTAAACAGAGTATTCATTATTTGACAAAAAAAATTATTTAATTATGGTCTTATAAAAATTTTGCACTGACAACTAAAGTGGCTGCAAGCCAGGTTGGGGACAGCTTGGACCCAGAAAACTACCTTTGTCAGGAGCCTGGGGAGCACCAGGATCTAAGATTCATAGACCTCCTGGATTTATTGGACAAGGAAAAGGTACAGGTATCAAATTAAGATAGTTAGATTTGTTTTTGTGCTGTCCTGGAATTTGGTTAACACTATAGAACATGCATGCAGTTTTTATTCATAAATGTATGTATTATTTAGATTGTTTTTTGTGCTGACCCAGAGTTTCATTAATATTGTAAAACCTGCAAATTTTTGTTTAAAAGCCTTTGTAGCAATCGGGTACATTGATGTCTAACAGATAAGTTAGAGAACTTAAGATTTCAGAAATGTATTGCAGAGAACAATTTGTGTTGAAACCTCTACACAGAAGAAGGACAAAAATAATTATGTTACACCATACTTTCAAATCAGAAAGTGTGGAACACTGTTAGAAATAACGTATACAGGGGAGAAAACTGTATATAGACACAGGACCATCATTTGATCCTCTGACACCTTTATCTTGGAGGGGCTACTGCCATGACAGCCAGTTGATCCTCTGGCACCTTTATCTGGGAGTGGCTACTCCCATGACAGCAAGTTGATCCTCTGGCACCTTTATCAGTTTGGCCTTGCATCATTTGTTTTTTCTTCTCCAGTTTTAGTTGTGGAAACACAGTATCCAGATTGATGATCTTGTGGGTGCCTTTGCAGTCCTCTTACCATATACTGTATTCCTCATTAAGTGGACATGGGTACCCCTTATTTCTTTTTCCACTTTGAGAGGGGTTGGCAGATTGGAGAGTCTCTCCTTCCTACCAGTCAGTGGTCTCAGAACCAGAGTATAGTATGGTACTTGGTTTCAATCTGATCTACGGCTCCATTTGTTTGAGATTGCAGAGCATCTTACTCCATAGATTTGGAAGCCTCCCAATTCCTAATGTTACTCATAGAGCACTCAGGGCTTGTAATTTTGCCAGCAGGTCTTATTTCATCTTGGGAATTGTTTTTTTTCTCTCATTGATCAAAGCAAAAACATATAAACATGGCTTTTTATAATAAAAGTTAGGTTTCAAACTTCTAAGTCATCTCGACATATGAGAGGTCAGAAGCGTAGTGAACAACATCACAACAAATCAAGCCAAAACTTGACACTTTCTGAGAAAATTCATTAGATCCAGATGTAGTGTCTTGCTGTATGTCACCTATGGTGAATGTGCATCTAAACATGTTTGTTCCAAGCACTAATGATCCATGCAGCTTCTTATATAAAACCTCAACTTCTCCAGTATCACTGTTGGCACGTAATATGTAACATCCAAAGTGATACAAACCTCTAGCCATTGCTATATGCAACCGTTACATAAGAAAAAGGATTATGATGTTTATGACCTTTTGACATCTAGTTAATGAGAATGTCATAACTACATGAAGAACATCTGCAAGAAAATTTAGAAATATTACATGAATATATCTGAATAAAGATACATCCTAAACTAGTTATGTAGAAGAGTGAAGTTAGTAGCTTTTGAGCTACAGTAGTGTTTTTTATCTGTCCTAAATTTTTATTAATACTATAGAACTTTCAATTTTTTATGTTGTAAATGTCTGTAATAGCCAATTTTTTTAATTTTGTTCTCTATCAAAATAAATTTAGAAATTAAGTATATAAATGTTGGCTTATTTTAAAAATAAGATCTCTCCTAATTAAAAATGTTAAACATTTACATGGATAGAGCTGTTGCTTATACTTTTTTGTGATTAGGGTATTCAAATATTTATACATTATTAAAGGTATTTTTTCAGTTATTAATTGATATTGAAAAGAAGATTATCAATAATAATATAAATAATTTTGTAATTTGGTTTAGAGGTAAAAAATAAAATTTTTATGAATTTGTCAGCTGAGTGTACTTCTGATTGTTTTTGTTGTTTCCAGCAGTGGATAAACAGAATTCCTTTCTTGTGCTTCGAAATCTCACTCCTCAGGTAATCTTGTAAAGTTTTTTGGAAATAAGTCTTATATGGAGCTTAGTTTCACAAACCTGGTTTTTTTTATAGCTAATATCATTTACCATTAAATAGCACTATAATTAAAAATTTCATGAAATTATGTATTGGTGGTTTAACTTTAAAAACTTTATGTAATGCAATCAAGTTCTATTTAGCCTAGTTTGTAGTTCTTGTGTAATTTCTTCCTGTTCCAGATTTGTAAAATTAGTTACAAATATTTGAAATTATTATACATTAAAATATTGGCGAAATAAAGAAAATAGCTTTGTAAACAGTTTTAATATTAGTGCAGATCGCATGCAGCTTAGTGTGAAAAACCATTATAGCAAACAGTTTCAATTTGATTGAAACTTTAGAAATACTTCCATATTAATGTATACATTAGCTGTGTGTTTTAATTTTCTATATCACTTTGATTGAAGCTTTAGAAATAATTCCACATTAATGTTTACATTAGCTGTTGTGTTTTAATTTTCTATATCACTTTGATTGAAGCTTTAGAAATAATTTCACTTGCTAAGTGCAGACTTTAAAAACACTTCCAAATTACACAAGTAGGTTCGTGAACAGAAATATTATCTTATGTTTTCATAACTATTGTATTCATCATAATTAATAATTAAAATAACTTGCTTCTGAAACTCCACCTGTCATGTAATCTGAAAATACTGCAATCTAGCAGTTAACATCTCTAGCATTATACAGATGTTAGTGTTGCTGTGTTTAGACAAGCTTTCCCAGCATTAGCTTCTTTCTTTCAGATTGATGGATCTACCTTGAAAACTCTTTGTCTGCAACATGGTCCACTTCAGCTCTTCCACCTCCTTCTGAACAAAGGAATTGCCATTGTCAAATACTCTACAAAAGAGGAGTCTGCCAAAGCTCAGTCAGCTCTGAATAATTGCGTTCTGGGAAATACTACTATCTTTGCAGAGATTCCCACAGAGGCTGAAGTCCAGAATTACTTGCATCATACTGGAAGTGGACATACATCAGGTACGAGTGGGGTAGCATGGTCAGATAATAAGTCTACAAATGTTGGTTCTAATATCGAAGGAAGCAGCACATTTCCATATGGAGGAGGCCCTTGTGGTACGAATCATGAAAAGGCTGATCCTAATGCATGGAATATTACTAACAAACCAGATGGACCATCTCAAACATGGTCTTTCTCAGGTTCAGGAAGTGGTTTGTGGGGAACTACCCAGTCTATGAATGGGACAATGAACTGTTTCTTGCCAGGGGACTTGCTAGGTAGTGATGCTTTTTAATGTTGAGAGACATTGCTGTGTTCAGTCACAATGTGTTGAGAGAACATTTCTCCAAACTTGGCTCGTGTTTAAGAAATACTTCTTGATAACAAAAATGTTTATCAATCTTATGTACTACAACTAACACGGATAGTGAGACTTTCATGGTATGAAAAGTAAATTGATATTTATATCAATGTACCTGTTGTAAGAAGTAAGTAAGGTTCCTAGAAGTCTGTGTGATACACAACAAATGTTTTGTGTCTCATGGTTAATGGGGGTTGTAGAGATACAGTGTCTGTATGTATATATTTCTTCTTTTATGAATTACTTGACAAAGCAGCCTGTGCCATGGCCATTACCAATATGCTCAGATGTACTTAGATAATTTGTTTAGAAAAAAAATCCATATACATGCACAACTGTTTAATCAATGATAATTATGCTTTTATAAAGTATAGGAATAATAAAACTTTAATTAGAAACCAAGCTTTTACAATCAGATGTGTTGCAGAACAAAAACCATTCAGGTTTACAAACTTCACATAAAATGACTTTTATACACATGATTAGTTCTGAAAACTATTTTACCATCAGTATGGTAGAAAAGGCTTCTTCTTGTTAATTCTGGCAATCAAAATATTATTTTTCTATTAAATTGTAAGCATTTTTAAACTAAGTTTCGTTTATGTTTAGTTGACTTTTAAAAACCATTCAAAAGTGTTATGAAGACTTTCAGGTCTTGTGTGTAAGTATGTTGTCTAATAACTGATAGATTCTGAGATTACAAACTTCATTTTTGTCACAGTTTTTATTTGTATTCTAGCTATAATTTTAGTTCTTATAAAAACCAACTGTGAGAGTACGTATTAGCTGTATTTTTTAGTTCTTATAAAACCAACTGTGAGGGTACTTATTAGCTGTATTTTTTAGTTCTTATAAAAACCAACTGTGAGAGTACGTATTAGCTGTATTTTTTAGTTCTTATAAAACCAACTGTGAGAGTACGTATTTGCTGTATTTTTAGTTCTTATAAAACCAACTGTGAGAGTACGTATTAGCTGTATTTTTAATTCATATAAAACCAACTGTGAGGGTACTTATTAGCTGTATTTTTTAGTTCATATATGCGTGATGAGCAGAGCACGGATAGCCCATTATGCAACTTTGTGCTTAACAATAAACAAACAAACTGTTGTCTTTTTGTTTTGTTTCTGGACTTTTAGCTGAAAAATTATTTTAAAATATCCTTCAAGGTAAGAATACTTCTTTTTTCCTAATATAGCTGTTATGTAATTTTTAAACATATATGTGTATGTATGAGTGAGTTTACACATTAGGTAACAATGAAAACTGTGGTTTATGTAATCTAAATTCCATTTCGCATATATGTGAGAGTACTTATTAGCTGAATTTTTAGTTTTTATAAAGCCAACTGTGAGAGTATTAGTTACTGTACCTTTAGTTCACGTAAAATGGACTGTGAGGGTACTTATTAGCTGTATTTGTAGTTCATATAAAACCAACTGTGAGAATATTTATTAGCTGTATTTGTAGTTCATATAAAACCAACTGTGAGAATACTTTTAGCTCAAAATGTTAATTCAAAGAGAAAAAATTTTCAAGAAAATGAGGAAAGTTATTGCAATTCACTTTTTGAAATAAAACTAAATATTTTTTGTGACCTTTGTTCTTCTGTAACTTAACTTGGAAGAGAGTTTCTTTCATAGTTCTACAATGAATTTTTTCTTCTGTTATTAAATCCATCTTGAGTATCACATTCCTAGTCTTTGAGGGTTTATCCCAGTAGAATCGTGACTTGTTTATATAACCAGCAGGTGTCAGTTCTAACTGAGACAAGTTGTCCAAGTCAAATGGCTTTATTTTTTTTTACTTATAAATAGCACTATAAGCTATATATATATATAAACAGTCACTCCTTGTCTATGATATAAGCCCTCAGAAACATTATTCACAATTGTGGATTGCTCTTTTATGAATTATCATTTTGAACAGTGAATTTTTTCATTTTAACTTTTTAAAGAAAAAGGAATATCTATGCATGTTTGTAGAAAGAAACACTTAAATTCTGTGATTTGTTTTCAGCTAACACATGAACCAGAATCTTGTTGTCCTGGCTAATGTGTGGAATCCATTAATTCTTATGACCAAAGAACAAAAAGGTTCATTGAATTTTTATAACACTGTTTTTGTTAAAATAATCCGATCATCTTGATTTAATGGCAGTCGTTTATTTTAGTGATTAACTCTGTTTAATGTAAACTGTCTTCATGGGGTGATTACCACCCTGTTTCACAATCAGTTTGTTCATATGGGATAACAACCTGTTTTGATACTCGTCCTGTTAATGTGAAACCTCTTCATGGAGTTATAACTGCCTCAGTTACCACCCTGTTTACCCAACAGTTTGGTTATGTAGTATAATTGCCTGTTTTAGTACTTACCCTCATAATCTAAAACCTCTTCACGGGATGATTACTGCCTTGTTTACCACCATGTTTTACCATCAGCTTGTTGGTTAAAAATAATAGCCTCTTTTAAAACTTATCCTATTAATGTAAAACCTCTTCATGGGATGATCACTGCCTTGTTTACCACCATGTTTTACCATCAGCTTGTTGGTTAAGAATAATAGCCTCTTTTAAAACGTATCCTATTAATGTAAACCTCTTCATGGGATGATCACTGCCTTGTTTACCGCCCTGTTTTACCACCAGCTTGTTGGTTAAGAATAATAGCCTCTTTTAAAACTTATCCTATTAATGTAAAACCTCTTCATGGGATGATCACTGCCTTCTTTGCCACCCTATTTGTCCATGAGCTTGGTAATGAAGGATAACCACCTGTTTTATTAGTTATTCTATTAATGTTATATCTCTTCAAGGGGTGATCACTATACCATTTACCACCCTATTTTATTAGTTATATTATTAATGTAATGTCTCTTCAAGGGGTGATCACTGCACCATTTACCATCCTGTTTGACCATCAGTGTTTCTGTTGATTAACCACCTGTTTTATTAGGTATCCTGTTAATGTAATGTCATTTTGTAGGGTGAACACTGTACCATTTACCATCCTGTTAATGTAATGTCATTTCATAGGGTGAGCACTGTACCATTTACCATCCTGTTTGACCATCAGTGTTTCTGTAGGACAACCACCTGTTTTATTAGTCGTCCTGTTAATGTAATGTCATTTCATAGGGTGAGCACTGTACCATTTACCATCCTGTTTGACCATCAGTGTTTCTGTAGGACAACCACCTGTTTTATTAGTTATCCTGTTAATGCAATGTCATTTCATAGGGTGAGCACTGTACCATTTACCATCCTGTTTGACCATCAGTATTTCTGTAGGATAACCACCTGTTTTATTAGTTATCCTGTTAATGTAATGTCATTTTTAGGGTGAGCACTGCCTCATTTGCACTTTTTTCCTATCAACTTGGTCATTGTCAAGAAATTCATTTGAAACAACTGACACAATAGTGTCTGTAGTTATAAAACAACTGACACAATAGTGTCTGTAGTTATAAAACCGTCCATATCCACAGGATATAAAGATGAATCTTGAGAAAACTTAATTTTTATTGTCTGAGTCACAAAGTTACAATAATACTTGGTGCTAGCTTATAGATATGTAATGTAGGAAAACTGTTTCTTGATCTCTTTCTGAAAAATAACATAATTAATTTTACTGTCATTTTATTATTATACCAAACCTGCTTTATGTATGTTGATCACAGCTTGTAGAAGTATGTAACCATCCATAAGCACTTGGTACATTGTACCAAACCTGCTTTATGTATGTTGATCACAGCTTGTAGAAGTATGTAACCATCCATTAGCACTTGGTACATTGTACCAAACCTGCTTTATGTATGTTGATCACAGATTGTAGAAGTATGTAACCACTCATGAGCACTGGGTGTAACTTGTGAAAGTTGGTTTCCAAGACAATAAATTTGTTTTTCATGTGGTAGTGTGGTGATATTGATGATTTATTGGATTTTTGTTTTATAGCAGAAGGTGATTTATTGGTTAGTGTGAATATGGTAATGATGTAGATTCAAGTAAATGTTTGTGTTTTTGAACTGTGTTAAATACAAAAAATAGAGTTTTTTCAAATAATTTGTCTCACTGTCAGCTGAATATATTTTTTCCATTTGTAGATAATTTCAGTTTAGGGTTTAGTATATTATTGATGATTTTATGTTCTTCTGAAAGAAAGGTTTATTGTGTATGTTTCCATTTTATTTAACACACATTTAAACCAACCAGACATAGGTGTATTTCTGTCACCAAAAGAAACTTTAATCAGTTTGTACTTTTGAGGTGTGTTGATCAGTTAGCTTCATCTGTAATGAAGCCCTAAGCTAGAAGTTTGTCCTAATTCTACCAAAGTTGATAAAAATATTTGCAATCAGTGTGAATCTTTTTCTTTTAAGTAACAATAAGAATTGCTTCCAGTTCTAGTTAGTGTTTTGTACATACTTTACTTTGATGTGACACTCAACTCAAATGATCTCATCATTGTGAACTCGTGTAGTTTAAGTATACAACAAGTGATCTCTTTAGAATATCAAGAAAGGATACAATGCTTGAACTGCAAGGTTATGTTACATTAATATATCATGACATTATTTGATGAATACAAGTCTGAGTGCATGGGAAACATAACCAGTTTGTTTAGTGCACCTGTTGTTTTCATATAATTCTCTTGAACTATGTTCAGTAAATTATTCTTGTCATTTTAACAACTATAATAAGAAATTATTATTCTTAGCATAACATAATCTTAAAGAGGAGTGCAATACTGTAAACTGTTGTAGTTCTGATAATGAGGATATTAATTTTTTACGTTTTAAAACGCACACTTTCAAGACATAAACTATCAGATATTTGTGTTATTGCTTAAGATGTGTTATAAAATACATGATGTATTGAAGTGGCTACATACCTCATAGCTGTAATGTAACATCATCAGCACAATCTGAATAAATTTTAACAAAAATCTCATTTCGGTGTTTACTGAATACAAAACTCTTATAGTACAAACATCAGAAAAATTTTAATTGTCATATTTAGAAATTCAGATGGTTTTTTGATGTTCTGATAAAGTTTAAAAGATGTTGCTTCATGGTTTCATAATAAGCTGAATGAAAACCACTTCTTACCGGTTGTATTGCTGTTAAATAACCCAGCACATGTGTTCAGTGGTCTTTCATCCTCAGATGTCAACAGAAAGGTATAGTTTTATATTCTTTAGAGGAATGTTTTGTGTTGCCTAATAAAAAAAACATACATTAAATCTTTTATTTCTGTAGATATTCACAATCTTCCTGTTCTACTAGTTGAACTGTCAAAATCACAAACAGTTCTTAATGTGCTAAACTCAAAACCAGTGTGACAAAATTTAACAAGAGTAAATACAGGGAGCAGGAAAAGTTACTGTAATATTGGTACTAAAAACAATGTTACAAAGACAATTAAAACTTGTTTTATTCTTTGTTTTATGGTAACAGATAGAAATGAAACTATATTCTAATTGAAATGACTATTGTCTCATTTTTCCCAGCCATTAGTTTTTATTTGTGTTAGGCATTCTTCATGATGTAACCTACAGAACCAACAGTAACAAAGCATAAACAGATTTTATTTATGTGAGGAGTTCTTCGTTATGTGATCTATAGAACAACAGTAACAAAGAGTAAAGTTTTTATTTATGTGAGCAGTCCTTCATGATGTGACCTACAGAACCAACAGTGGCAAAGAGTAAACAGTTTTTATTTATGTTAGGAGTTCTTGATGTGACCTACAGAACCAACAGTGACAAAAAGTAAACAATTTTTATTTCCAATATGGTACATTACCTCCTTTCACATAACTAACTATTGTTCTGTCCTACCCTCTACATGCAAAATTTGTTCTCATGCCACAAGCCTTGAGCTCCCACTTACCCCAAGATTGACATGGTTCAACTGTGTCTTGCATACAAATCATCATGCGACATCCATGACTGAGGAAGCCCATGGTCGACATTTAATATTCTTATGACCACATTCCTATTTTTATCCCTTGTGGTGCTGTCTTAAGTTTGTTCACCATGAGGTTGGGTACTAGTTTCGTGCCTTGCCCTTTGAGCTTATTTCAGATCTGTATGTCTTTGTCTCTGGTTCCTCATCCACTGGCCTTTGCTGTCAATGTTTTAAGAAAGAATTGGACCTATTTATGCATTTATTTTCTCAACTCATTCATCACATACCCTGGGTGATTTCGTTCATCCTTGCCACTCTGTGTCAGGTCTTTCTGATTGCTTCTCCCTGGCCAACACAGATCTGGTTTTCTTAGCTGCTTCAGCTTGATTTGACCTTTTTGTTCTAGATCGATTTTTCCCACCCTCCACTTTTGTGGCTTGTTGGGCATGTTCTTCCTTTTCTACCATCTCCCACCTTTAATCCCAGTTGGATCCGATTAGCCTTCTGTGTCCTGTACCTGCTCTGGTTCATTCATTGCTTCAGGGCTTCCTTCCATTTGTTCCTTTTCTTACTGTTTCATTCCCTGGCACCACTCCTCTGTTTGTGACTTTTTCCTTCCTCCCTTGCCCTTTTGATATGATTGGCCTTTTCTTCCTTGTCTCCTTTTTCCCCATAATCCTGGTGTCTTCACTCTGATTAGCCACATTGTCTTTTACCTGCATCTCATCCTCATTTATTGGAGGTACTTCTTCCGTCGAGCACTGGAACTACACCTCATATGTTTATCTCCCAACATCTGATTCAGGTAGGTGTTTCTTCCTCATTGGGGGTACCGTCTTCCACCTGTCGCCATCCTTCACCCTTCGGTAAGTCTGTGACTGGGTAAGATACCTTTTTGTATATATGCCTCCTTTTTTTCAGGAGTGTTTCCCCTCTTGTCCTGTATGGATCCCACTGTGTGGCAAGTTTTGCCTGTCCAGGTATACTTAAACTAATCAAATCTGCACTACAAGGCCATGATGACTTAATAATGGGTGGCCTGGGTTTTGGATTGTAGTTAACTTGCCTCTGGTATGATCCTCTTTCCTACCTCCACATGGATGTTGGGTCCCGGTGGCCTGGGTATTGTAGTTGACTTACCAACAGTGTGATCCTCATCCTACTCCCACGAAGATGTCGGTTCCCAGAAGCTGGGTTTTGGATGCATTTGACTTGCCGTGTATGGTCCATCACGCTCTAGCCATTCTACACCTAGAGGCACATCCTTTTACTCTCACCCACATTAATGTATTCTATGGGATTGAGATTCCAATATCGTGTGGTTCAGATCCCTATCCAACCATTGTTATGTGCTCCTCCCAATTTCTGCACATGTCTGCGACACCTCTTTCCACATTGGGTGAAGAGTATACATGGTACAGAAATGGTGCAATCTCCCACATATGATCCTCTACTGTGAAGATGTACTCTTTTAGGGTGTACTTGGGATGCTTTCAAAATATGCTTCTTTCTTTCCCTCACACTAGTCCCTCCATCTGTGATATTTCAGTGGAGTCGAATAGAGGGAGTCACATGCATCAAGAGGATATGTCACACTCCTTTTGGTGGAGGGTTGTTGCATGATGATTTGCATAGGAGATGCAGATAAACTATGGTCATCTTGAGGTACGTGGGAGCTCAAGGCTTGTGGCATGCAAAAAAAAATTGCATAATGAGGGTAGCACTGAACGAGAATAGTTATTTATGTGAAGGGAGCTCTTCACGATATGACTTACAGAACCAACAGTTATAAAGAGTATATGGTTTTTATTTTTGTGACTTCTTCACAATATCACCTATGGAATTAACAGCGATAAAGAATGAACAGTTTTTATTTATGTGAGTTCTTCATAGTGTGACCTACAGAACCGACATTGAAAAAGAGTAAACAGTTTTTATTTTTTTGAGTTCTTAATATGTCATACAGAACCTACAGTGAAAAAGAGTAAACATTTTTTTTTGTGTGAATGAGGAGTTTTTCATGATATGACCTACCGAACCAAGATTGGAAAAGATTAGATAGTTTTTATTTTTGTGAGGTCGTGATTTGACCTAAAGAAACAACAGTGACAAAGAGTAAATAGTTTTTATTTTTGTGACTTCTTCACGATATCACCTATAGAACTAACAGTGATAAAGAATGAACAGTTTTTATTTATGTGAATCCTTCATAATGTGAACTACAGAACCAGCAGTGCAAAAGAGTAAACAGTTTTTATTTTTGTGAAGAGTATATCAGGTGACATACAGAACCAAAAGTGACAAACAGAAAGCAGTTTTTGTTTGCATGAGGAGTTCTTCATGATGTGACTTACAGAACCGACATTGAAAAAGAGTAAACAGTTTTTACTTTTGTGTGTGAGTTCTTGATATGTCGTACAGAACCTACAGTGAAAAGGAGTAAACAGTTTTTATTTATATGAGTTCTTCATGATGTGACCTTTGGAACCAGCAGTGTAAACCAACAGTAAGTAGTTTTTATTTTTGTGAGGTCTTGATTTGACCTGCAGTGACAGAGTAAAGGTTGGGAATTCTTCATGATATGACCAACAGTAAACAGTTTTTTATTTGTATGAGGAGTTCTTCATTATGTGACCTACAGAACCAAGAGTGACAAAGAGTAAACAGTTTTTATTTATGTTAGGAGTTCTTCATGATATGACCTGCGGAACCAACAGTGAAAAAGAGTTAACACAGCTGATGTCACCCAAAGAACCAACAGTGAAAAAGAGTAAACAGTTTTTATTTATGTGAGTAATTCCTGATATAATCTTTGGAACCAACAGTGTAAAAGTGTAAACAGTTTTTATTTTTCTGAAGAGTATGTCGTGGACCAACAGAACCAACAGTGATAAAGAGTGAACACTTTTTATTTGTGTCAGGAGTAATTGATGTTGTCTACAGAATCATCAGTGACAAAGAGTAAACAGTTTTTGTGTGAGAAGTTCTTCACGATATGACCTACAGAACCAACAGTGATAAAGAGTGAACAGTTTTTATTTTTATGAAGAGTATGTCATGTGACCAACAGTGATAGAGTGAACAGGTTTTATTTGTGTGAGGAGTTATTCATGATGTGTCCTACAGAACTAACAGTGAAAAAGAGTAAAATGTTTTAATTTTTGTGAGTTCTTAATTTGGCCTACACAACCAACACTGAAAAATAGTATAGTTTTCAATTTTTTAGGAGTTCTTGATGTGACTTACAAAACTAACAGTGACAAAGAGTAGTTTTTATTTGTGTTGAGAGTTCTTCATGATGTGACCAACAGTAACAAGTAATATACAGTTTTTATTTTTGTGAGGAGTTATTCATGATGTGACCTACAAGACCAACAGTGAAAAAAGAGTAAACAGTTATTATTTTAAGGAGTTCTTGATGTGACCTACAAAACCAACAGTGACAAAGAGTAGTTTTTATTTGTGTTGGGAGTTCTTCATGATGTGACCAACAGTGACAAGTAATATACAGTTTTTTATTTTTGTGAGGAGTTATTCATGATGTGACCTACAGAACTAACAGTGACAAAGAGTAAACAGTTATTATTTTAAGGAGTTCTTGATGTGACCTACAGAACCAACAGTAACAAAAAGAAAATAGTTTTTATTTCTGTTAGGAGTGAATTCTGACGTGGCCTAATCTCAATATGAATTGTATGTTATAGTTTTCCCTAGTAAGTTTTGCTGAGATTCTCCCATATAATACATTTTAATTACTCTGAAAATCGCTTGTGTGGCTGGTTCTGATGATTTATTTTCCATTATTGTTTAAGCTATTAGCTGTATGTTTTATTCATTTTCTTGTAGAGCTATAGTATGTTTGACTGAAGGATGTTCAGCTTCTTTTCCTAACTTTATTGGGTAAATTAGCCTTAAATCTGGGCTTCTAGTTTACTGTACGTTATTATGGTACGAGTTCTAAACTAGTTAAGACCTAGTGTAACCATATTGGTAAGTCGGCCTCTTTTTTTTTTTATCAAAAACTAGTGTTTGGTTTAAATTTGTAGAAAGTGAAGCTATCCAAGAAAATGAACTT